AAAGCTCCCTGCGGTTCGGACTGTGGCTCTGGGCCACGGCAGATGGGGCCCTTGGCCGGCTGGATTCTGCCTACGAAAGCTGGGCGCGGGCCTTCCTCGGGCCCGCCCCCGTGGCGGAGCGGGGCGCAGGCGTGCTACGAGTTGGGCTTGTCACTGACTGGCTCGGCGCGTGCTGTTCTGGACATCGCCTCGCGCCGCGCGAGCGCGTGGCCCGTCCTGGAGGGGGATCTCTACTACGACATCTTCGTCCGCGCACACTCGGTCCCAGGCCTCTCGTGGGCTCGTGCATCCCTCGCCCTGCTCGACGCCCGGTCCCTCCCCGACTGGCCTGCGTGGCGTGCTGGCAATGGGGTGTCGAAGTCCATGTTCTGTGCCCGCATATCGTCCCACAGGTGCGCGCTGTGTCGTCGGGGCCGGTGCCGCGGCCAGACTTGGCCCGAGCTTTTGGCCCACGCAGTTCCTAGCGCAAAGCTTGCGGGCCAGGGGTCCCTCACCCGCCTGCGGTGCCGGCTGCTGGCACTGTGCCACGCCTCCGGGTGTCCGTCGGAGGCTCGGCGGCAGGTGTGCGTCTTCTGTCGAAGCCAAGTCTTAAGACCGCTTTTCCCCGTCCTCGGCAACTGCACTCGTACCCAAGGCAGCCGGGCTGCCTTCTGGATCGCGCGTAGCCTCATCGAGCCCACCTCCCGCGAGGCTGCGGCCCAGCCCTTTCTCAGCGTGGTGCCAGGAAAACCTGGATACCCCCAGGCGGTGTCCTTGGCTCAATGGCTTGAAGAGATGGCGGAGGCTTTCTGGCGAAACGAACTCCCGCCCCCTGCCTCCAGCAGCGGCGATGGTTGGTCCCGGGCCGGGCCGCGGGCTTAGCCAGGGATGCCTCCTCCATCGGGGTGGCATCCGTGCCCTGCCCCCTCCATGGCCGGAGTCTCGCATTTGCGTCTCCTCGCCGTGCGCTGACAAGTGCAGCGGTTGGGGAATCGGGCTGAGCGCTAAGCGCGGGCAGCCGCACGCTGTCGGCGGCCCCGCTTGGTCCGCCCCACTCCATGCGGTGAAGCCGAGTCGCCCGTCTACGTGTCAACCATTCGAAAGGTTCCAGCAGAGCGCCTCCGCCTGGTCGCTGCAGGGTCGCTTGCGTCGCCCTCCCCTGGGCCCGCTGCCCCCTGCAGAACGGGGACCACGCCCGAGGTCCGCGCATGCAACCCCAGCGGGAGGGACGCCAGCCAGCCTCTTCGTCCTCCTCTTCCTCGTCCTCTTCCTCCTCGTCCTCTTCCTCCTCGTCCTCTTCCTCCTCCTCCTCCTCCTCCTCCTCCTCCTCCTCCTCCTCCTCCTCCTCCTCCTCCTCTCGCCTCGGCCGCAGGGCGCCCTGTTCGCATGGCAGAATGTGCCCCAATGGTACGGACCCCTTCCAGGCGGCAGATTGTCCCTCCCATGCTGATTTTTCCCATGACCAGGTGAGGGCCCTCCAAAGGCACAACATTGCCAACGCTCTCCCGCCGCCATGTTTTGTGACCGCGAGAGGACGTCGAGGAACAATTCTGAAGGCACAAATGTTGTGTCCTCGGCGCAGCGCCGCTGCTACCGGCGCTGCTCGCCATAGAGCACAATACTATGAGGAACGTAGGGTCGAAGACAGACGACAACGACGACGACGACGACGACGACGACGGAGGCGGCGGCGGCGGCGGCGGCGGCGTCGTCTTGGAGTGTCTTCGCCAGCGGCGACGACGACGGCGTCGGCGCCAGCATCAGCGGCGACGGCGGCGACGTTTTGAAGGTCTTGGCCTGTGGCGATGACGGTTTCGGCGGTGACGCTGAGGGTTTGCGTTCGTTTTGGGCTTCCGGATGCCTCCAGGGCCCCAGAACCTCCAAAGGCTCTCGCCAAACCTCTGGCGACTCAGAAACCCATAGCACCGGAGGTTCATCGCCAATTCCGGGGTCTGTTCGCCGTTCCTCGACCGAACGAAAACAAAACATAAAATCCAGGAGAAGGGGCCAGGAGGTTTAGAAGCTGGCGACCGGAGAGAGAAGTCCAGTCGTCGGAGGTGCGGGCACGGACGCGACGAGGCCGTCGAGGACGCCCTTTCGAAGACTCTTCAGCGCTTCTGCAGGCTCTCCGTCGGCACGGCTGGACGCGGCTCGAACACCTGGCCAGGATGGGGTCTGGTCGGGGAGTGTATCTAAGTGGACCCCTGGCCCGAGGTGAGGGACTCGAAGGTCGAGGACCGAAGTGTTTGGACGCTTCTTGTCCCTTTCTGAACCTCTGGAGGCATCTGGCGACATCTGGAGGCCTCGGGAGTCGCCGCCGACGTCGCCGTCGTCGTCGTCACGGTCGTGGATGTGGTCGTCGTCGTCGCCGTCGTGGTCGCGGCATTGGTCGCGGTCGTGGTCCTGGTGGTGGTCGTCGCCGTCGTTGTCGTATTCGTGCTACTGCTGCTGTTCCTCCTCCTCCTCCTCTTCGTCCTATGTCGGCTGTTATGCACCACGTTGTCCTCCGCTTTGCCTCCTTCCTCGGTAGTCCTCCTCCTCCTCCTCCTGTTTGCCTTCTTCTTCCTTCTTACTATTATTCCTCTTTGTATTACCATTGTTATCGATAATAGAAGTAAGTTTATGTTGCTTCTTGTTCTTCTCCTCCTTCCCTGATCCTCCTCCTTCTCGCCCTCCGCGTCCTCCGCGTCCTCCTCCTCCTCGTCATCGTCATCCCCTGGGTAGTCCCGCTCACCCTCCGCCTCTTGGGGGCAGGGCAAGGGCAGGTGGAGGAGGGCCAATGGGGAGACCGACCCAATGCAGATCCCCAAGCAAACCCTGAAAACATCCCCACGCTTCTTACTGTTGAGACGAAACCAAGACGAAAACAAGTTCGATGATGATAACTCGGAAATCTCTGAAGACTACCACCTTTGAGAATGCCATGATCGGACGCCGCGACCGTCCGAGAGCGTTCGGGAACGCGTAAGTAGAGGAACGAGACATTGCATTCCACGCAAACTTTCGGAGCTCCGCGCGGATGTCGAGAATCGGCGCTGGGCCCCCCGCAAAGACCTGTCGTCATGACCACTTCGCCACGCGAGACGTTCCGGGCTGCCAACACGGCCGATGCACGGGCAACGGCGGGAACGAGAAGAACGAGCTCCAGACCGCGCCGCAGCGCCGATGCATCGTCGATGCGGCGCGATCCCGACCCCATTGGGAGCCCTGAGCATCGGGGACCTCTCAGCGCCAACTCTCAGGATCGACAATAGCGACTACAGGCGGTCCACCGCCATATCGCGCGAAGAAACTCACACTCTAAAACAAGTGTGAAACAATCTCAAAGCCAGCACCTGCCAACACCTCACACACTAGAACACCTTCCAAACTTCTCAATGCCAAAACCTGCGAACATCTCAATATCCGAGAACAACTTCAACAAATCTCGAAGCCGAAACCTGCGAAAATTTCAAGCTCTAAACAAAAACGCCCCAAAATCTCTAGACCCAAACCAGCGAAAACCAAAAACTTCAAAACAACATCAACCAACCTCTAAGCCGAAGCCTGGGGAAATCTCAACCTTATAATAAACTTGATACGGGAACCATAACAAACTTCAACACCCAGCTAGCAAACTCTTAACATGCAAACCGCCAGAACACTCTAACAAACCGCTGAACAAACTCTAAATCAACTTTAAACGCCTAACAACTAAAACACGCTAAACTCTAAACACCTCTCAACGCCTGAAAACTCATAGACACATCTAAAACCCGTAAGCACTCTAAACGCTACCAAACAAACTCGAAACAACTTTCTGACAGCCTAACGAATTCAAAAAAAAACACTCAGAGAAAACTAAAGCAACTCTAAATGCAATCGCCGGCGGCCTGGGAAACTTTAAAACAACTTAAACACACCTTAAGAACAATCTGGCCAACCAAGCATCGAGCATATGTGGTTCAATATCTTTGCTTCAAGTTGTCTGGAGTTTCGATTTCAAGTTTTTCGGGTTGGGATTTCCCCAGGTGTTGGCTCAGAGATGTTTTGAAGTTTGTTTGATGGCTTGCAAGTTTCGAAAGTGTTGGCTTAGAGATGTGTTGAAGATTTTCGGGAGGTTGAGTTTCCTGCTGAAGATTATCCGAAGATTTCAGCTGGTTTCCTAGATGGACCTGCTGTAGTATCACTGCCGAACCTAAGCCAACCCCCCCGCGCTCTTTGACTCCGCAGCGACTGCTCACAGTCGCGCCCCACGACGCCCGCCGCTCGGCCGAGGAACTTCCGCTCCTGCTGCCGCTCCCGCTGTTTTGGCCCACATGATGATGATGCTGGAACTGCTCCTCCTCATACTCCTCCTCCGTATTCCCTCCTCCTCCTCCTCCTCCTCCTCCCACCCCATCGTCATCAAAAACTCCTCCTCTTCCTCTTCCTCTCCCACTTCCACTTCCGCTTCATCCTGCTCCTGCTCCTCTTTTCTACCCGTCTGAGGACGACTGTACATCTACACTGCCCTTCGCCAGGCCTTTCCTGGGCCCAGGATCGGTGTACACGCCCTCCCGACTTGGCCACGAAGGCGTATCCACCGTCCTGGGCCGAAGATTGGCCTGAAGAGAGTCGGGTTAGGGGTGCAGGTGGCGACCCAAGTGGCGTTACTGAGGCCACTCTGGCGGCTGCCCCATGTCGTATGTCCAATCGGACCTGGTATCCTTCCTGGTGTCAATCTGATCATGCTTCTGCTGCTTTGCTTCTTCAAGTTCTCCCTTCCTCCTTCCATCTGCCTCCCACCATCCTGCTTCCTATCTCTCCCCTCCTCATCCTCTTCCTCCTCCTCCTCTTCTTCCTCCTCCTCCTCCTCATTCTCCCGATCGTCGATGCTCGTCGTCCGCTTCGCCTTTGCGTCGAGGCTTGTCGCCGGCACGCCCACCGACGTCGCCGTCGTGCCCGTCCTTACCATCTCCGTCGCCGCCGCCGCGGCGGTCGTCCTCGCAATTGCCGTCGCCGCCACCGCTGGCGCGGCCTAGCGCCGCCCTACACCTCACTCAAGCGGCCCAATCGTGGAGCGGAATCCGGACGGCCACCTGGCCGGCTTCGCGGACGCTGGCCGCGTGCGTCGGCGTCGTGGCAGTCGTGGTAGTCGTGGTCGTCGTGGTGGTCGTGGTGCTTGTCGTGGTAATCGTGGTAGTCGCGGTAGTAGTAGTAGTAGTAGTAGTAGTAGTAGTAGTAGTAGTAGTAGTAGTAGTAGTAGTAGTAGTAGTAGTAGTAGTAGGAGTAGTAGTAGTAGCAGTAGTAGTAGTAGTAGCAGTAGTAGTAGCAGTAGTCGTCATCGTCGTCGTCTAGGTCCCAGAAGTCGTGGTAATCGTGGTAGTCGTGGTAGTCGCCGTCGTCGTCGTCGTCGCCGTCGTCTAGGTCGTCGTAATCGCCGTCGTCGTGGTCGTCGTCAGCTTCGTCGTGGTTTTCTTCGCCGTAGTCGTGGCCGCCGTCTTTGACGTCGCCGCCGCCGTCGAGGACGGTCAATGTCAGCATCAGCACCGCCGACGTCGTCGGCACCAGAAGCGTCGCCGTTGAGGAGAAGATGCTGGGGTAGAAGGGGAATATAGGCCCTCCTAATCCCCCTCCCCTTTCCCCTAATTGGCGGGGGTATAGCTGGAATCTTGCTGCTTAGGTCGGAACGCTGATGGAAGGCACACCGCCCGACTCTCTCGCCGTGCGAAGTAAACTGACATGGGTTGTCCAATTAAGGGATGATGACCCTCCCGCAAACGCGTCAATCGACCCTTGGCCGTCCAAACTCTGGCGGGCTTGCGACCCATCTTCAAACGGCTCGTCCACTTACACTGGGCGCAGGAAACGCAACGCCTGCAATACACTAGCGCGGGTCAAAACACAAGGTGATGTCCAAGGACCTGTGCCTTGAGAGAGCGGGCTACACGGGTATATCGAATTCGACGGGCTGTGCGCCCGACGGCCCGCTTGTAGTCTGATTTTGGGCCCCTGGGGCGCGACGACCCATGGGGCTCCCAGACGGAGGAGGAGGAGGAGGACAAAGGAGGAGGAGGAGGAGGAGCGGGAGGAGGAGGAGGGGGCATCAAAGCAGGAGCAGAGGTCAACTCGGCGGCCTGGCACGGGGCAATGCCTGTGTAATCGGTACCACATCGGACACAGCATCGACGAGTTCAGACAACATCGCCGCAAGTCTGACATGAAACTCAAGGGCCGCTGCTGCCATATGATGATGTTGCTGGTATGTCTTTCTCTACCCCTCCCACCTTTCCACTGCGCCAGGGTCCAAACTCCGATTCGAAGGGGGGGTGGGGGACGAGCTCGTCAACCACCCCAGGAGCTTACGGCGCCCGCAAAACGCCCCACAGCAGCCCAACAAGGCCCAGTCAGACCGCAGAGACAGTCGAAGAGAACGTCATGACGGCCCAGGGTCGCCCAACGACGATCCAAGATGGCTACAAGGTGGGCCGCAAGGCCCCCAAGTCAGCCCAAACGCGCCTCTAGAGGGTCGCCGAGAGGGCCCCAAGAGGTCAAAGACATCCCAATATCTTGGAAAAAAAAAAAACATGCCGCATTTTCAGCACATTCTCATGTTACGTGTGGATAGCGAACACGACTGCCCAATTGGCCTCGAAGATCGTCCCAAGACGGCCCATGATGCCTCCAAGAAAGCGCCGAGACGGCCCAAGGGGGCCCAAAGACAGCCCCAAGGCTCCCCCAAGACAGCCCAAAACAGCCCCTGGAGGGCCCTTGAAGGTTCCAGCAACTCCGTGATGCTCTCGAGAGAAGCCACGGCCTGCGAGACACGAGAACAAGATATGTGGAAGTGAGGGCAAACTGTCAGAACGGAGCGTGCTTTGGCGCACGACAGTGAATGTGCGCCTAACCTCAGAAGGGTCACCTGAACCTTCCCTTGAACCAACGTAACTTGAGCCGAAATGGCGGCGGGTGATGATGTTGCTGCCGATGATGATGCTGATGCTGATGCTGATGATGATGCTGCTGATGATGATGATGATGATGATCATGATGATGCCGATGCTGATGATGCTGATGATGATACTATTAATGGTGATGATGATGATGTTGATGCGGGTGCTAACGATGGTGGTGATGATGATGATGATGCCGATGCTGTTGATGAACATGATGATGATGATGGTGATGATGATGATGGTACCGATGATGATGTTGACACATGGTGATGATGATGCTGCTGATGATGATGCTGATGAGAACGCGGATGGCATGACGAGGACAACGATGATCATGGTGAACATAATAATGATGAGGACGATATTGGGATTGCTGTGGATGATGAGGATGATGCTGCTGATGCTGTTGTTGTCGATGGTGATGATGATGACTATGAGAAGTATGATGGTGACAATGGTGTTGATGATGACTATACTGATGGGGGGCCACATGCGAACCCTACCCCTACCGCCCACGATTTTTGAGGGGGCAGGTGGGGTTTACTTCGCTCGGAAGCTCCCGAGCGAAGTGAACCCCACCCTCCCCCTCAGAAATCGTGGGGGGTAGGGGTAGGGTTCGCATGTGGCCCCCTAACTGATGACGATGATGACGATGCTGATGATCATGATGATGATGCTGATGATGATGATGCTGATGATGACGATGATGGGTGAGGAAGGAAGAGGGCGGGAACGGGGAGGAGGGAGGAAGAGAGGGGGAGGATGGCAAGCTATGTGCGCTCGCGTCATATCTGACGTCATACCCCTCCCTCCCATCCCTTACCATGGCGCTGATTTTCTCTATCCGCGGACGCGTGTCGTAGCGGACCTGTGCCTCCGCGCGCGCGTGCGTAGTGGGTGGTGGTGCGCGTGCGTGCGTGCGTGCGTGTGTGCGTGGGTTTGGTTGTGGTGGTGGTGGTGGTGGTGGTGGTGGTGTGTGTGTGTGCGTGTGTGTGCGTATGCTGTGGTGTGACGTGGTGTGGCGTCTTGGTGGTTTGGTGGTGGGCCAGGTGCGTGCGTGCGTGATGGCGGTGGTGGTGGCGGTGGTGGTGGTGTGTGTGTGCGTGTGTGTGTGTGCGTGTGTGTGCGTGTGTGTGCGTGTGTGCGTGTGTGCGTGTGTGCGTGTGTGCGTGTGTGCGTGTGTGCGTGTGTGCGTGTGTGCGTGTGTGCGTGTGTGCGTGTGTGCGTGTGTGCGTGTGTATGTGTATGTGTGTGTATGTGTATATATATATATGTGTGTATATATATATGTGTGTGTGTGTGTGTGTGCGTGCGTGCGTGCGTGCGTGCGTGCGTGCGTGCGTGCGTGTGTGTCTGTGTGCGCGCGCGTGTGATGTGGTGTGACGCGGTGTAGCGTGGTGGTGGTGGGTGGGGTAGTGGGGTGGTGGTGGCGGTGCGCGGTGGTGGTGCGCGTGCGTGCGTGCGTGCGTACGTTGGTGGGTGGAAGTGGCGGTGGGCGGGGCGGGGCGCGGTGGTGGCGGGCGGATGGGCGCGCGAGAACGAGGCCCGCGCTGGGGCGAGAACGCCATCCTGAACGACGGAGGCAAAACACCGATCCGAAAATGAGGCCCACGCTGCAGCGGGAGCACGATTCGGAACGAGCGGAAGCCCGAAAATGAGGCCGGCTGCTGAGCGAGAGCAGCATTTGGAAAAAACCAAGCGAAAACCCAACTCTGGGAAATCCTATGTAACAAAACAGTACGCGGAGGGGTGCCCGCTATCTTCCGCACGCCATCAGGGGATGGAGGAGAGTGTATTCATATTGAATAATTGTGGAGGAAGGGACGATGAGGGGATGGAGCGGAGGAAGGGAGGGAGGCAAAAATGTGGCGCCTCCTCCTCGCGGATGCCCGGCCGCCCGTAGCGGCCGTACTCGTGCGGCAGCAGGACGCTGGACCTCGGTCGGGGTGGGGCGTAACCGTCGTCGTCGGCGCCACCGCCGTCAACGACGTCACGGCCGCCGACGTCGAAGGAGGAGGGGAAAGCATAGAGGCAGGGGGAAGCGGCGGAGGGAGGAGGCAGGGAGGGATGGAGGGAGACGCAGGGGAGGCTGGAGGGAAGAACAGGGATGGGCATGCGAGGGGGGAGGAGGAGGAGGAGGCGGAGGAGGCGGAGAAGGAGGAACAGGAGGAGGATGAGGAGGAGTGGCAAACAAGCTGCGCGACGGGAAGTGACGTTGGGGGGGGAGGATGCGGGGAAGAGGAGGAAGAGGAGGAAGAGAGGGAAGATGTGGAGAGACGGTGGAGGGGAGGACGAGGATTTTTAAAAGGGGTTCAGAGGGCTCTTGCGGTCTTCAGCTGCCACTGTCGAATTCTCGGATATTCGATGTTCTGAAGTTTTTTTTCAGAGAGGTGATGGATGAGTGTGAGGGGGGCGAGGAGCGGGGAGGGACAACACCACCAGTCTGAGACGTGAGACACGAATACTGTGGGGCTCGGACTTGCCTGACGGGAGGGCTTCCTGAAACTGACGGGACCGAATCTTCAATCTGACGCGACTTGCAGCTGCAAACACACTCAAAATGGACTTACAAGCTCATGCCGTGATTGTCAGAATGCTAAGGGTCGTCGATCGTCGCGGCCGACGCCGTCGATCGTCGCCGCCGCTGCCGTCGCCATCGCCCGGGCCGTCGTCACCGTCGCCGTCGTCGCCGTCGCCGTCGCCATCGCTGTCATCGCCGCCGTCGCCGTCGCCGTCGTCGTCGCCGATGCCATGGTCGCCGTCGCTAGCGTCGACTCTCAAAACCTGCTGAATCTTGGTCCCTGGAAACCCTTGGGTCTATTGCCTATCCTAGCCATTGTACCGTCCTGCTCCTGGATCGATATCTGACCGCCCAACAGGGCCTGACACATACCGCTGGAGGCCGGCAATGCAAGAACAAATCGGACGTCGAGCGTCCGAAAACCAAAGTCCTCGACAAGTCGATCGTCGTCGTCGATCGTCCTCGGCAGACGTCTCCACTGAACAAGTAGAGTGCGCCTAGTCAAAATTTCACGTTGCTGCGCGGCTTGCTCGTCGTCGCGAGCGGTGCGAAAACAGCGGCCTGAGCGTGCTCGTATTGCCCCCCCCCCCGCGCCCCCCGACGGCCACGCACGGAAGGTCTCTCCAGGGAAGGGTCGCCCTGGCTTTCGAGCGGCCACCCCAGGGACGCTCTCGGCGAGGTGCAGCGGCTCGAACGCAGCCCGAGGCAGGAAGGCGTCCAGGCATCGACGAGGGCGTCCGACAGCGCGGCGGTCGACTCCTCCTCCGTGGCCCACGCTGCCCTGCGAAGGCCGCGCACCCGAGGCCACCACGGCGAGGGGCCACTCTCGCGTGTAGCCCGCCGTTGCCTGCCCCCTGCTCTGCACGCGTCCTCCTCGGGAGCCCAGGGGCTGCAAGCGCTGCGCCCCGAGGGCCACACGCTGCAAGCGTGCCAGCTCTCCCTCCCGTCTCCGTGGCTGCCCCCCCCCTCCTCCGTCCGCGCCGCCTCCGCACCCCGGCTGTGAGGGGGAGCGATGGGCGGGGACCGGCTCGGAGGGGGGAGGCATCGACCTGGAAGGGGCGCTGCAACGCTGATGGATCGGCGATAGGCCCCTGACAGCGAGACCGCACGTTCCTGGGCGGGTTGGGCTATCAGCTCCACATCGGCGATGGATGGGCAACCGGGGCTCGGTGCGCTCCCCCCATGAATCTATCCACCCCAATCGTTGCCCCTGAAACTGTATCAGACCACACTAGAAAATGCGTCAATAAAATACGACCGCGGTGCGATCGTCCTACCGAAGACGAAGGCGGATGAGGACAAATCCGGACGAGGAGAATTCGTGAACCCCTGCGATCTGGTGGCGGGTCTGGAGGATGTGCCTAGCGCCGCTGCCGTCCCAGAGCTCTCCGGGACGCTCTGAAAGAGTTTTGGTGCGCTCTGGAACGGCTGATCCTTATCTTGAAACTGCCTGGCTTGCTGTCCAGGCCCCTGCTAGAGGGGCGTTAGAAAACGGGGCGGTAGCTAAGGGGCCTCTGCAAGCGGGAACGGGGTGATAAGGCATTTACCTCGCCCTAGTGCGTTGTCAATGGGGACGACAAGACGTCGACACATCATCATAACTCTGGGCGGGGGGGGGTTACCTCGCGCGCGTGCGCGGCAAATCAGTTTTTTGAAAACACCATTGAACACGCACCCTCAGCTACCAGCCCGTTTACTAACGCCCCGTTTGCATGGGATTGCTTGCTGCAGACAAAAACAAAACAGTGGCTAGCCGCCGCCGGCGGATCGGCCGCCGCCCAAGGCGGGGGCCCGTCCGCCGCCGCCCTGGCGAATGGGGCCGCGTCGTTGCCGCGCGGGCCGTGGCCGTCCTCGGGGTGCGGTCGTTGTCGATCCTCGTCGATCCTCGTCGCCGCTGTCGATCGTCGCCATCGTCGTCGATCGTCCCGTGATCTGCTGCCATCGCCACCGTCGTCCTTCGTTGGTCGATGGTCCGTCGCCATCGCCATCGTCGTCAGCGCGGTTGTCGTCGTCGTCGTCGCCGTCGTCGTCGAGGTCGTCGTTGCCGTCGCCATCGTCGTCGTCGATCGAAAGATTCTTGTTGTGTGCTCTTGGCCTCTTCTGGGCCTCCGAGGGCCTCCGCGGGGGGACCTCGATGGGGGTGCTGTGAAGGCCGTACGGGCCTCCTTAGAAAGTCTCAGGGTATCCTAAGCATGAGACACATCCTCTGGTACAGGGAGACACTCCCGAAGGTTTCCGGATATTCTTGAGAACTCGAAGTTTGGGTATCAGGGTGGAGAAGGAGGAGAGCGAGGAGAGATGCGGAGGGGAGGAGGAAGGAAGAGGGAGGAAAGGCAAGGGACAAGGAAAAGGAGGAGGAGGAGGAAGATCAGAAGGGGGGATGAAGGGAGGGAGGGATGGGGGGAGGGGTGGAGTGGAAAGAGGGCGGGAGACCCTGGGGGATGAGGATGAGAAGGATGGAGGATGGAGGGGGGAAGAGGGGAGAGAGAGCTGGGGGGAGGGATGAGCAGGGGGAAAGAAGCAGCGACAATGAGGAGGGAATGACAAGAGGACAATGAAGGACGGGCCCTCCTGGCTTGGTCAGGGGTGCATTTGCGTATGCGCCGATATTTGTCCCAAAGTTGACCTGGCCAAACTCCGTGTGCAAGAACTGCTCCTGGAATCGTAAACAAACACGCTGCGGCGCTGCGAACTCCTGGGCTGCCACCACGAGTAATTGGCATGCATGTGAAGCGGTCCGAGTGCCCAATTGAGAATTGTTGAACGCTGCGTCACGTGAGCTACACACTGTTACGGGGCAGATATGTTTGATGGCACTCATACACTTCAGACATGGCATGATCTCCGCACCCTCACGCATCGGAGAACTTTGAAGACATTACTGCTCAAACATCCCTAGTGTACAACCGCAAAGTGGTGCGTCCTGTTGTTCCACCCCGGGCCTTCAAGCCAGGCACGGGACGGTATGACTGCAAACTGGTCCGACTGCTCAAACGAAAATTCTAGAAACTGCATCGCAGCACGAATTTCACACTCTTGCGCATTCGAGAGCTTCAATGGCAATTGTACACTTCAGCCGTAGTCTGCTCTCCGCCACCTTATGCATCGGATATCTTTGAAGACACTACTGCGCAATCATCCCGCCTGACCTAGCAAATAATTCGATGCCCTCTGGTGCCACCACGAGCATTCAAGCCCAGCATGGGCCTAGCATGACTGTGAAGTGACACGGGGGCTCAAGGGATATAGCAAGAACACAGAACGCGGAGTCAATCATACGTTACTCTCCGCACCTTCACGCATTGGAGAAGAGCTTTGAACGCGTGCATGCGCACGCATCCCGAGTGTACGACGGCAGAGGGAGGCGTCCTATTGTTCACCACGAGCATTCGAATCAAACATGGGACGGTGGGGCGGCGCGACTGCAAAGTGGTCTGGCTGCTTAAAGGAGAATGCTGTACTGCTGCATCGCACTGTGAACTTCACTCCCTTACGTTTCAAAGAGCTTGAAAACACTCCTGCACTTCAGGCGTAATTTGCTCTCCGCACCCTGAGAATCGAAGAACTTTGAAGACATTACTGCACGATCTTCCCAGGTGGGCAGGCGCAGAGAGAGAGAGAGAGAAAAGCACCAAGAACGCACAAGACCGGCATGGACTGGCATGTCTACGAAATTGTCCGGTTGCCCTGTGGAATACTTCAAAGCTGAACCGCACTGTAGACCGCACTGTGGAGTTCACACCCTAAATATCGGAGCCCATCAGTGGCACCCATACACTTCAGACGTAGTATGCTCTCCGCCACCTCAAGCATCGGAGAACTTTGAAGACTCTAATGCGCAATCATCCCGCGTGTACTCAAATAGAAGTTCGACGACCTGTGGTGCCACCACGAGCATTCAAGCCAAGCATCAGCCTGGCATGACTGTGAAGACCCTGGGGCTCGAGGGAGTCGCCAACAGACGCATCGCGCGTAGAATTCCATAATGTCCGCGTGTGTCCACTTCAGAAGTGTTATGCTCTCCGCACACTCACGCATCGGAGAACTTTGAAGACATCAATGTATATTCATCCCGAGTGTTCATGCATAGAATGAAACGTCCTGTGGTGCCGCTTCGAGAACTCAAGATGGCATGGGTCGGCATGACTGCGAAGTGCTCAAAATACAATACTTTAATTCGACATTGCGCTGTGAACTCCACCGCCTTGCGAATGAGACAATGTTGAAAACCCCAATGCACTGTAGACGTGGTATTAAGACATTACCGCACAATCATCAAAAAAGTACAGGCGCAGAGTGAGAAGTGCACCACGAGCACACACGCCTGGCATGGACTGGCACGTCTGCTAAGTGGTCCGACTGCCCTAGTGAACGAAATTTAAAGCTGAACCGCACTGTGGAGTCACACCCTTGAGCATCGGAGAACATCAATGGCACCCATACACTTCAGACGTAGTATGCTCTCCGCCACCTTATGCATCGGAGAACTTTGAAGACACTAATGCACAATCATCCCGCGTGCACCCAAGCAGAGTTCGACGACCTGTGGCGCCACCACGAGCATTCAAGCCAAGCATCAGCCTGGCATGACTGTGAAGCGAGCTGGGGGCTTAAGTGGGGCGCCAAACGACGCATCGCGCGTAGAATTCCATAATGTCCGCGCCTGTCCACTTCAGAAGTGTTATGCTCTCCGCACACTCACGCATCGGAGAACTTTGAAGACATCAATGTATATTCATCCCGAGTGTTCATGCATATAATGAAACGTCCTGTGGTGCCGCTTCGAGAACTCAAGTTGGCATGGGTCGACATGACTGCGAAGTGCTCAAAATACAATATTTGAATTCGACATTGAACTGTGAACTCCACCGCCTTGCGAATGAGACACTGTTGACAGCCCCAATGCACTGTAGACGTGGTATTAAGACATTACCGCACAATCATCCAAAAAGTACAGGCGCAGAGTGAGAAGTGCACCACGAGCACACACGCCTGGCATGGACTGGCACGTCTGCTAAGTGGTCCGACTGCCCTAGTGAACGAAATTTAAAGCTGAACCGCACTGTGGAGTCACACCCTTGAGCATCGGAGAACATCAATGGCACCCATACACTTCAGACGTAGTATGCTCTCCGCCACCTTATGCATCGGAGAACTTTGAAGACACTAATGCGCAATCATCCCGCGTGTACTAGCGCAAATTTCGACGACCTGTGGTGCCACCACGAACATTCAAGCCAAGCATGGGGCTGGCTTGACTGTGAAGCGAGCCGGGGGCTTAAGGGAGGGCGCCAACAGACGCATCGCACGTAGAACTCCAAAATGTCTGCGTGTGTCCACTTCAGAAGTGTCCGTAATGTCCGCTCTCGGCACCCTCACGCATCGAAGAACTTTAAATGCACGCATGCATATTCATCTTGAGTGCTCCTGCATAAAATGAAACTAAGACCACGCGCGCGCTGCGCGCGCGCTTAGGATCTAGCCACGCCTGCCAACGTGCAAGAGAGGAGTGCAGGGGCCATTCGAATGCAAATCGGAGCTTTCTGGGGGGCTTCGTCGGAGGGCGTTGGCCTCCTTGGGGCTTATCGGGTACGCTGGAGCTTTTTGGGAAGCCTCCAGGGGAAACTCTTGCGCGACTCTGGGAAGTCATGGGGGCCTATTTGGAACAGCTTGGCGCCACGGGCGATTGCCGTTGCTGGCGTGTTACTATCCAAAGCTGCCTGGGCGCCTACTGGGGCCCTCTTGGGGAAGTCGGGGGGGGCTCTCGGGGCCTATGGGACATTTTTTTTGGGTCGCCCGGGAAATGGTTAAAATCTCTCGGGCCGTCTTGGGGCGCTCTTGGGGGCCTCTTAGGGGAATCTTGGGCAATCATAAGGCATCCTTGGCCGTCTTTGCACACCGTGGTGACCTCATATAGATCTCTTGGCGGTCTTGTAAGCAATTTGGAAAGGCAATGCGGAGAGCATGGTTGGATCGCGCAGAGGTAAAACTTGCGGGTATGTCACAATCGCCACCCCGAACACATGAACGACTCTTGTCCGGTCAATCCCTCTTGGTCGCGTGCTTGGTTGGGCCACCTTGAAAAGCGTTTGGGTGCCTACTGGGGCCTGGGGCCGCGTCCCGGCCTCTGCTTGTGGGGCCTCCTGGGGCCTCTTGGCGGCTTCGGAGGAGCCTGCTCGTGGTCACGAAGGTCTTCTTGGGTCGGAGGGATCGACATGGCAGTTGGAGCTCCTCCTCTTTAGTCCCTCCTGAGGCCCTCCCCACCGTCTGCGGCGCCTGTGACGGCGTTTTCAGGCTTGCTTGGCTCGTCTTGGAGCCTAGTTATCTAAGGCCTCTTTTGCGGCCTCAGGGGCCTTCTTGGGGCGATATTTGGGGGCCCTCTGGGCCGTGTTGGGCGCGGCTCAACAAAGAACCGATCTGCTAGACATGCAAGCTTTCTTGCGCAAAGAGTCGATTCGGGCATCTTGTGCCTCTTTTGTTGGCCCTTTTTGGGCACGCTTGGGCTTTCTGAGGGACCTCGCAGTCGTTTTGAGGCCATCTTGAGCGGTCTGCTCTCTGGGGGCACTCTCGGGTCGTCTTGGAAGCCTCTTGGGCCGTCTGGAAGCCATCGCGGGGTACTCTTGGAGCGCTCTCGGGGCCGACAGCGCGCCCCGGGCCCTGGGGTCCAAAAAGGTTGCCCAAGGGGGGGCCGTTTGAGCCACTTGTGATAATGCCCGAGGACGGCCAGGGGGCCAAACAACCTCGAAGTGCAGCGTGCCTGCTCGAGCGCGTTGTCTTCGCCGCCGCCGTCCTCCTCCTCCTCCTCCTTCTCCTCCTCCACCTCCTCCGCCTCCTCGTCCTCCTCCTCGTC